GACCATACTTCTAAAACTGCTATTTAGATTCAATGCAATCCCAGTTGAAATTCCAACAGCATACATCACAGAACTTGAGAACACAATCCAAAACTTCATTTGGAACAAGAAGAGACCTAGAATAGCAAAAGCAATTCCGGGTAAAAAAGACATGACAGGGGATATCACAATCCCCAACTTGAAACTGTACTACAAGGCTGCTGTGATTAAAAAAAAAAAAAAAAGCTTGACACTGGCAAAGAAACAGACCTGAGGATCAGTGGAACAGACTAGAATATGCAGAAACAGCACCAGACATACTCAGCCACATCATCTTCGACAAAGGAGCCAAACAACCTCAGTGAAGGAAACATAGCTTCTTTAATAAATGGTGCTGGAAAAATTGGGTTTCAATTTGCCAAAGATCAAAAGCAGACCTATATCTCTCACCATGCACTAAGCTAAGCAACTGTTTACACAACTACTGCTATATTTACACCTGTCAGAATTCACTGTGAGCTTGAAGAAAGGCTGGAGATCCAAATAGTGTTTCTTTTTTTATCTGTAAGCATTGTGAAAAAGGTAATTTGGAAGATAAAGTGAAGGATTCACCTTCATTTTTTTGTTTGTTTGTTTTTGGTTTTTTGAGACAGGGCATCACTATGTAGTTGAGACTGACCTGCCTGGAACTCACTATGTAGCCCAGGCTGGTCTTGAACTCGCAGCTATCCTCCTGCCTCAGCCTCCTGAGTGCTGGGATTACAGGTGTGTGCCACCACACCCAGCTTCATTTTTTTTTTTTTGAGACAGGGTCTCACTATGTAGTTGAGACTACCCTGGGACTCACTATGTAGCCCAGGCTGGTCTCGAACTCACAGCAATCCTCCCGCCTCAGACTCCCAAGTGCTGGGATTACAAGTCTGCACCACCATGCCTGGCTCACCTTCATTTCTTATGACTCTCACGCTGCTACAGACCAGTCATATTTACTATTTTACCCATGCTTTGGGCACAGAACCTGTCCTTATCCCAATTCTCCACTCACTTTCACTTAGCTAACCTCAGCTGCTCCTTCATGATGGCTCAAGCATCACCTCTCCTGAGGAGCCTTCCATGACAACCCACATGCCACCCGTTTCCTCAAAAATAAGACTAGTAAACATTGAGCCTTGAAAGCTGGAAATCAGTTTTGCATTGTCATGGCTAGTGTCTTGCAGAAAGTTATGCCACAGTATTCGTTTGCTAGGTGACTAAAGGTAATGGCAGATAAGGGAAAGATATAGGCTGATTGGGGCTGATAGTTTTGAACTCCAGCTTTCAAGCCTGATTATTTTCTGGTTAGGTCTAATTTTCAGGGATATATAATAGGGTTTACAGACTTAGCAAATATAACAGAAGCCTGTTAGAACTTGAATTTCGAATAAAAATGGAAAACCTTAGATTTTAATTCTCTAAATCTGGCAAGCTTACTTTAGTTAAGAGCTCTGCAGTCATAGCCAAATCCAGAGTTTCATTAGCCATATCAAATAATTCTCTGTAACAATGTCTTTAATATTGCTTGCTTTGTATACATAGGAAATAAGTGAGTATGTCTTTATGAGACAGCTGATTAAAAATGTACTTTGGTTAATGCAAATTGGACTTTAACACAAAACTCTATATTATTCTTTTGCGGCCTGATTACACTATATTTGCTTCTTTACTCTGAAATTCCTAAATGTGGTAAAGGAATTGTCTATGATTACTAATTGATAAGCATTTAGTGTGACAGAGCAACATAATAAAAGAATAGTTACTCAATTTATTTCCATAGAAAAGATTTATACTTGAATATTTTCACTCATAATTAACAATATATGTGACATATTAACAATATATGTGATATATAATTACATTTTTAGGCATCCTTGAAGATACCACCATAACTGCTAATCACTGAAAAATATCTCTAACTCTTTTTGCTTAATAAGAGATATCCATCTTTAAAACATTAAAAACAGATGTTACTGCATGACTTCACTGCTGATGTATGTAATATAAATGACACACTTATTAATGTTGCAGTATACATGTACTGATTATCACAGCTGACAATAAAATTATGAAAATATTCAATTATAATCAACGGTAATTATTTATTGATTTCATGCTATGAAAACATTAATACAATACACTTAATTACACAAAAGAGGTTATTGTTTTTCTGTTGATATACAGGCGTCACCTAAATTCATGTTTTGTTTTAAAATAAAAAATTTAGTTTGAATAATAACTGTTGATCCAAATTAAATAGAACATGCTTGGGATATGAGGTTTTGAGCAAAGTCATATAAATTTAAATGTGCTGCTCAATTGTACATCTTTGAGATGGCCAGTAGTTTTTTTTTCCTAGAACCACAGAGCTTTCAACATTTGATCACACAGCCTGAACAATGTCTAATAAAATGTCTTGTACATAGTAGAAAGGCAACAAATATTTCTGGTGTAAATTTTGACCCCGAGCAAAATAGAAGAAATTTTTACAATAGAATTTTATCGTCTACATTTCTGGAGAAGATAATATCACCCCTTATAGTAGCAGTCAGAAAATCTTTAAGGAAAACTAAATATTTTAGAAGGTAGCTTTTCATAAACTGAGAGAGAATTTTCAAATGGGAATTCTAAACAGAGGAGCAGCATACATAACAGTTTGAAAGTATAGGCCTACAGAATAACAAATCCAGCAGCTCAACTTCAGTGCAGGTGATTTGCAGGAGAACAGTGAGAAGAAAATATGATTCACTGGGGCCTGGCTCCTGTGAAGACTGGAGAAGCCAGGTGTGGTGATGCTTGCCCATAATCCCGGTACTTGGGAGGTTGAGGCAAGGGGATGATGACTTTGAGGCCAGACTGGGCTATACAGGAAGATCCTGTCTTTAAAGACAGGTTGGGAAGGGGTTAAGAAAGGGTACAAATTCCATTTGAATTATTGCACTAGATAATGATTCTTCCTACATTCCCACAGAATCCAAGCAGTGCTTTGCCTTGATATCTGGCTCAACATATTACACATTGTGTATATAGATGAATTTTTAAACCAAGTCATTCTATTCAATGTAAATGGTTAGATATGGCCAGGGGCTTTTTTTTTCTTACAATTTAGGGCACTATTTCTCTTATCTTGAAAGTTTCTACTGAACTGAGTTTTATTTCAATATATTAATAATGCCAAAGCTAAAATTGAGCTCTTTATATACCACATCACAACTTCTGAGTTTTTTGCAATTTGAAGATAAAATTATTTTCATAATCACTTCTGGAAAGACAATCAATGTGCTCTAAATGTAAACTAAGAAAAAAACCAGCAGTCCAGTCTATAAAAGAGGACGATAATTTTATCCATACATGTCTGTCTCTTTTTTCCTCTTGTTTTTGTGGATATAACTTTCACCTAACTGCAGAGGTGAAAAAAATCATGCTTCCATTATTTAAATGATGTTCTTTCTGAAGTCCTATTTTCTGTTAATTTTATCGTTCTCTTATAAGCTATTATAAGCTGATTTCCACAGAAACATGAATTATTGTGCATTTATAGTAATTTCTAGTGATAAATATAATTTACATGTGTCAGACCTTCCTGGTTTTCCATCCCTATGGGGAATTGTCAATATTAACAGTTCTACTTTACTGTCCTGGCAAGTTAAAACATTTAAAAAAATTCCAAGTACTACATTTAACTTGAATATTAACTGAATATTGAGTTCATTTATAAGCCAAGCATATACATAGTTTCTTTATTTCACAAATAGATTTGTACACATGATGGACATGACTGGAATATTGGGACTGGGTAGAAAAGAAGTATAATTTTAGATAAAGGTTCTCTCTGACAAATATGCCTCTTAACTACTTTGCCTGCACCTCAAGGGTTCTCTGGAATGAGTATGTCTGTGAGAATAAAGAGTAGATTGGGGCTGTTGAAAACTAATGTGTAGACAGAACTTCACAGACACGACTGATCATTCTGGACATTTATGAGGTCAGCATTTAGTTTGGAATTCAGGCAGGATGGAAGAAGTACAGCACCAGCTGAGGCTTCTTCTTTATTATCATGTACATCTTTAGTTCCAATATTATGTTTGCTTCAATGTCCTGAACTAATTACAAATGTTTACCTTTCATGCTTGTTTTGACTTTTGGGAATAACCAGAAGTTTCAGTTTGTCAGATCTGGGGAATACAGTGAGAGAGGACATGCCCTTACGTTTTTACACATCTACTCTTCTGTTGGATGGCACTTGGCAGCAACATTCACCATATTTTTGATCACACCTTTTAACATTCACAAAAGAGGACTTCTAAAACGTTTTCCTAAAGTGGTGGCCTGTGACGTGGGCCCTGCTGTCCTTGCTGCCTCCTTGGCGGTGCGGCTGCACTGGCCCTGTCCCTGCGGCGCAGCGCCCAGCGAGCAAGCCGGACACTGGACCCCTGCAGCTGTTCTTGCACTGCGTGTTTTTCCAGGCTCTGAACTCCAACGGTGAGATCTGCCATCACTTCGTCTCTGTCTTCCCGCGGTGGCACCTGCAGTCAAGTAGCCTCGCACGAACAAGAGACGCTCATGATTCCCAAGCACGACACAGCAGTATGCCGGCCGGGGGTTCTGTCTTACCCAAATCTGCAGCTGCTCCTCTCCAGTAATTGCTTTGGCTCGAACAACTGGGCAGTGGGATTCTTTTCTTCCTATTGCCACTAATTGCCTGTGCACAGCCTGAGTTCTGGTGCTGGGAGAAGGATGGAGTTTTTTGCCTGAGGATGGCTGTTCTGCTTGGGAGGATGAGCGCAGAGTGCATGATGTCTCCACCACCAGGGAATCAAACTCAGGACCTTGTGCTTTCCAGGAAGGCTCAGTGACAACGAGCTAAGTCTCAGGCCCACAAAATTGATCATTTTTTTCCTGACTTCAGAACCACATTTTTTTTTTTCTGCACTGCGTGACCTCCTGCATCTCCCTATCTGGCCAGCGCGCTACTTCCTGGATCCATCATGGTGTTTGGTGAGTTTTTCTGTCACCACGGACAAGGCAAGGAACTGGTGAACTTGAACGTGGGGGACTTTAAGCAGTCTGTGGCTCAGAGAACCTTGCTGCAGTTCCCTCACACCCACCTTGGGAAGCTGCTCAGCTGCCACTTGGTAGAGGTCATCCTGGAGTGTGTGATGATTACAGTGTGGCTGACAAAGAGTACTACTTCGACCTGAACCCGTCCTTGTTCAGATATGTTCCGAAGTTTTATTACATGGGGAAGCTGCATGTCATGGAGGAGCTGTGTGTGTTCTTATTCTGTCAGGAGATAGAGTACTGGGGCATCAACGAGCTGTTCATTGACTCCTGTTGTGGCAGTTGCTACTAGGAACACAAGGAGGAGAGCCAACACAAGGACTGGGAGCAGAAAAGCAATGACACTAGCACTGACTCCTCCTTTGAAGAGTCTTCTCTCTTCGAGAAGGAGCTGGAGAAGTTTGACCACCTGCAATTTGGTCAGCTCCAGAAGAAAATATGGATTCGCATGGAGAACCCAGGGTCTGCCAAGCTGATGGCTGTCTCATCCTTGAGTGTGGTGCTGGCCTCCATCTTGGCCATGTGTGTGCACAGCATGTCAGAGTTCCAGAAGGAGAACAGAGAGATGGACCACCCCATGCTGGAGGGCTTGGCGATTGCATGCATTGCTTGCTTCACTGGGGAGCTTGCCATCTGGCTGGCTGCTGTTCCCTGTCAAAAGAAATACTGGAAGAAACTGCAATAATACATAAGATCCTAATAAGATTAGTGACATTGTGAAATGGGAAGAAAGGGGCTAAAGGTGTAGGGAAGGTGGGATGGGTAGGGGAAGGGTTATAAGGGAAAAGAAAAAAATGTGAGATAATGGAAAGATGGAAATAAAGTGTTTGTAGATGGGGAGGGGAGGAGGGAGTGAAGGGAGGGCAGGAACAAGGGGGAAAAATGAGAACCAAGACCTGTCATGTAAAGGTACATATCCCAACAATGAATGTAACTGTACTGTATCCCTAAAATGTACCAATAAACTCAACTAAAGTTGAAAAAAAAAAAAAGAAATCCTGGAAGAATCCTCTGAACGTAATTGACTTTGACCCTATCATTCCCTTCTATGCCACTCTGGCAGTAGACAGCAAGGAAGAAGAGAGCAAGGACATCGAGAACATGGGCAAAGTGGTCCACATTCTCCAGCTCAAGTGGATTTTCCTCATTCTGAAACTTGCTCAACACTCAGTAGGACTTCAGTCTTGGGGACATGCATAGACACAGCTACCATGAGGTTGGGCTGTTGCTGCTTTTCCTGTCTGTCTGCGTCTCCATCTTCTCCGTGCTTATCCACTCTGTGGAGAAAGATGACCGAGGATCCAGCATCAGTAGCAACCCCAACCTGGGACATTTATGCCCAGAAGGTTCATGTCTTCATCGTCAGCCTGCCCTCTGTGGGCATTGTGGTGAGTGACCCTGACTCCACAGATGCCTTGAGCATCGACGACAAAGTGGATGCTGACAAAATGGCATCCCCAAAGAACTACACAGTGCAGTGAGCAGGGGCATCTGTCCCTGTATTTGTGTCCTTTCCTGACATTAGGTTAACAGAGCTTTATAAAACTCAGTGGTTTGTTAAACTTATTTGCTTCTCAGGGTGTAACTTCTAGCCATAGTTGGACATTCATTGCTGAATTCTGAGATGATAGAATTATCTTTATTTTTATCAATGAGGCCAATTAAATGCTTTGTTCTGAAATTAATTTTTTACAAGAGAGAGTTGTATATGGTTTTGGAAAAAAAAGTACATGATATTGGATGGGATTTGTTGCTACATTTTTGCCTTATTCTGCATTGTCATTACTCACATTGAGCTAACTGTGAATTACTAACCAGTAAAATCAGAGGTCCAGCTGATGAAGGTGACATGCCTGTAAGATCCACACATTGAGACAATGCATGTAAGTCTATGTTCATATTCTAGACATGGAAACTAGGAGCCTAATAAACTTCCTAATTCAATTTTAAAAAGTGGTAAGAATGATGGGATAAGTGTGTTTGAAGTTAAGGGGTGTATTTTGAGGGAAGTTAATGACAATGTGTCTCGTAATAAATTTTCTTAAAACTTAAACAGTCACCATATATTTTGATCACCCTTGTAAGATCTTGGACCAGGCATCTAATTGAGTGTTATGCTGCCTGGCATATATGAGGCCCTGGGTGCTAGTCCCAGTACCACACACCTGAACACACACATATAAGCAAAAACAAAAACAAAAAAAAATAAGTAGTTATAGGATAAATGGACAATACGAGGCCTAGTAAAGTGCTGGGTGCCCAGTTGAAGTATTTAGGTAAATCCCATTTTAATAAAATACACTGCTGGAGAGTCATTCTTTAAAGTCCTTCTCATGAGTTGAAATTCAAGTACTGTATATATTTCATCCTGAATGCATATGTAGTTTTCCAATCATGTTTTATTGGCATCTTTGGAAGTCTTTAACATGCAGTTAAATTAGGCAGGAAGTGAAGTTAATCAGTCCTTCTCCAACCTTGAGGCCAGAGTTCCTCAAGTTCCTTTAATAGGAGAAGTCATGTTTGAGGACCTTAAAACTTTAGGCATCCAAATTTAGAAGGATGGAACCCATGAAGGCATCTACAAAGCTCGTATAAATAGATTTAAAATATACTAAACCTAGATGATGACACTGGCACATTAAGTTTCAAATTTATGAGTTTTTTGCCTGCAAGATAAATGGGCAATACTGAAAGCTGTGCAACTAATGTTCACTTGTCACACTTTGTTCATAAGAAACTGCTCAGGATTTTCTCCTTTCTCCCCTTCCTCTTGAAGTTTCAAGGGCATGCTTGTCATATTGTTTCACTTTGATACAGGTAGTTTGCACATTAGTAGGTTGTAAGAGTTCTCCTCTATGTCTAGTCCACTCTTCAAATGCTGAAGTCCTTTCAGGTGTTAGGTCAAAGTGTTTTTTCTCAAGCCAATGATTCCAGAGAAGCATAGACTCTGGGTGTTAGAAATGAAAAAAAAAATCTTTTTGCTAATCTTTAAAAAATGACCCCATTTAGCCGAGTTTAAATCATGCTGTCAAATCCTTCTGCCTGAACCTCAGCTCTTTCCCCATCCCAGATACTTGAATATGATTCCAAGGCCTTCTCTAAACACTCTGCTTCTTGTATGTCTGTGTTGCTGAAATGTATATTCAGACTTTGTCTCCTCTCCATTTCCCTGTTATTACTTTTCAGCATTTCTTCTCCTACAAATTTTCTAGTTATTTCCCTTGGGGAAAGTTACAGTTTGTATACACTGAAAATGAAATTTTGATAAAAATATTCAAATGTAAATGATAATTAACTGGAATCACACTTATTCTGTTACATATACTACTTTAAGCAATTTATTAGTGGTGCATTGCACACATTAATTCTTGTAATCATACAGAATCCTGTGAGGAAGATACTATTATTATTACGTTATTTTATTTTTTAAGTGTTTTGAATTTCCAATTTTATTTCTGTTAAGACAATGGAAGCATCAGAAAATATTCACTTGGTAATTGAAATTATAAAGAAAAAGCCAGGTAAGGTGATACACCCCTATAATCCCAGCACTCTGTGAGACTGTTATAGGAGGATCGCAAGTTTGAGCTAGCCTGGGCATTTTAGGGAATTAGAGAGACCTTGTCTCAAAATTTAAATGTGAGAAGGGGTGGGGTAGCTCAGTGCAAAGGCTCTGGATTCAAATCCCAGCATAAAAAGGCAATTTAGGGACTTAACAAATGAAACAATTCTCATTTAAAATTAAGAGTAACTTTGAAAAGCTTATAAACATTGTTTTCCTATAGATTAATTTATTACATTTAATACAATCTGTTCAATTACCTTTTATGTTAACTCACTGTTTTAAATTAATGACCATCCTGGATTGTTCTTTATTTGAAAAACTATTTTCAGGCTTATGGGTGCGTGTCTGCAATCCTAACTACTTACAAGGCTGAAGCAAGAGGTTTGCAAGTTGGAGGACAGCTTGGGCAACTTAGCAAGATGACACCAGTCCTTCAAAAAATAAGTTGTTTCCAAAGATTCATACCTTTATATCTGAACATTCCATTCCTGGCTTTTTCAACATTATTCTTTGTGTGAAATGAAGACCACAATGTTCAAAGTAACATTCATGATAGCTCCAACTTGGAAGTTATATACATCAGCCGTAGATTTGATAAGTTGTGTTTCAGTCACAACATAAAATGCTCATTCTCAGTCTGCTTCCAAAACTTGATTTGGTGCTAGAAGAATGAGATAATGAAACACAGATAATGAGCCAGGTGTTATAGTGCATTCCTAAAATCTGTGGAGCATTATCTTCTGCCACCAATGGAGCTGAAACAGTCAATTTTGTATAAATTCAAGTTCTTTGTCTCATAGAGTTGAAGAATAAATTTATAGATAGAAGAATTAATTTAGGAAAGCATTTGTTAGAAATAATAGTAAGAAAAAAAGCTCTTGGTGGATACTCAAGAGGGAATTCTGAATAGAAGTCCAATGTGCCTTCTTTGTTTTTGCCTTAAGTACACAAGGACTTCTTTTAAACTGGTATATTTGTGGGTTTAGGGTTCAAAGGAAATTAGTTATTTAGCTTATTCACAGGAAACTGAGTTCAAAGGAAACTAGTTATTTTTCATTTTTAAGTGTTTCCAAGTTCAGTCCAGAGATTAGGGAGAAATTGGCAACTAAATTAGCTTGTCTTCCTGGGAGGAAATGTCTTTACTTCCCTTCTTGTTTTAACTTTTGTTCTTCTTGTGTTTATCTTCTGTTTAAGGTTTGCTTACTTGATTGAATTGGCTCAACCCAAGGAGGTTATTTTCTTCTATCTTCCCCCATGCTTAGGCTGTTCTAACTACCTTACATATAATAACTAAACTAAACTACTACATTATCTCCTTCTGAAAGAGTGTTCCTAACTGCTGTTAGGGGAGAAAGGGTGAAGACTGAATATTGCTATTTCTGGCAGAGAGCGGTCAGTGTAGAAGACACTGAAGTAAGGGATTTTCTTCAGAGAACTAATATAAGGAGCCCTTGATGGAGGGTAAGTTGAGGTTCAGAAGCTATGAACTCTCTTCAGAGGGTCAATCTAGTAAACCTTGGTAAAAGAAGTCTGGCACATTGCTTGCTTTATCTGTGTGACAATTTGAAGTTTGACAGTTTCTAGGGAAGAAGAAACAAATTTTATTATTGAGTGAAGAAGCCTAGTCCAGACATTATTTTTAAGAGACTGGAGTAGGGGTTGCAACCAAATGGGTCTTAGATCTGTCTCTTCTGGGAGGCTTTCTGTAAGTCTGATTTGTTTTTTTATGATTTTAAGGTCTCTTCTACCTGATGTGATTTATTCATTTAAATACAGCAAATTTTATTTGTGAGTGATCAAGCTTTTCCAGTTTTGGCTGTAACAAAATAAAGGACTCTATAGTTTTGAAGGACTATTTCTTTTTTGGGGGAGGTTCACATTTCCTTATGGTGTTGGTTTCCAGGTTCTTCTTCTTTTACTCATTGAGTTTATTGGTACATTTTTGGTATACAGTACAGTTACATTAATCATTGGTAACTTGTACCTTTACGTGATAGATCTTGGTTCTCAGTTTTCCCCATACCTTGCCCTCCCTTCACCCTCTCCTCCCTTCCCTACTTACAAAAACTTTATTTCCATTTTTTCATTTTCTCATATTTTTTTCTTTTCCCTTATTACCTTTCCCCCACCCTTCCCACTTCCCCTACACCTTAGCCCCTTTCTTCCTATTTTACCTTGTCAATTATACCATTAGGATCTTATGTACCATTATAGTTTATTCACACCAGAGAAACTATTCAGTATTTATACATGTGTGACTTATTTATTTCACTTAAGAATATGACCTTAATATGAAGGACTATTTCAACTAAGGAGTGTAAAGTCTGTTGTTGTGTTCATATTGCTGCCACTGTGGCATTTTTAGCCTCTGAACAGTAACAGTGCTAAATTACAGGCATAGCTAGAGACAAACATTAGGGGTTAATATAGTGATGGGGGGTCCCTGTTTATATCTAGACTGTATTACTATTATTTTCTATGTATCTTTTTGGCTACTTAAGGCCAAATTAAAGTGAGACCTCTGTTAATTAAAATTAACCCCCCCTCCAAACAGTTAAGAGTCTCCGCAGGGATTTTTTTTTTTTTTTTGGTGGTGGCAAGCTTAGAGCCTTTTAACTTTTATCAATGTTATCTGCCAGGATCCTTGACCATATGGCTTCCCATGGAGTTATGGGAGATATTTCACTCTTTTAGTACACAATGTACTGGTTAATGCCTGTCCTCTGGGGTTCAACAATAACTCTGTTCAAGTGACTGAGTGACTACCAGAGTTATAGGATCTTTTTAGAGAGGTTCCCTCATGTCCTGAATCCTTGTTGACCT